TGCCTTGCGAATTCGTTTTTGCTCTGCTTTCAGGATCTTAGCGACTCTGCGCGCTTCTACCTGCTTTGGACGAAAGACAATCAAGACATCTTGTAGACACGCAGACAATACCACACCTTTGCATCCTGACGCTCCTGTCGCAGGCGGGCAGACGGGCGGACAAAGTCTCCTAGCAACAGGCAGACGAGGAAGGACCATTTATTTACGAAGGACGTTCTACACTCCTGCGGCAACTCCACTCTTTGAGGGGGAGGAACAGGAGGTGCTTCCACGTCGGACATCGTTGCAACACATGGGCCAAAAGAACGCTCGAATTACGGAGCCAATTCCGGAAGCTGTTCTCTAGGATGCTTGGAAGGGCCTCCTCTGTGTGAGAAAGTTCTGTTTGCAAAGTTCACATGTTTGCGAGCGTTCCACTTGTTATTTTGAGTTTTGAAGGAACACAGGCAAAATGCAAAACAGAGCTGGCGAGGTTTATATACTGTTGCACGCAACGGCCAGCTGTGCACGCAGATGTGGCATCTGCTCGACGAAAAAACGGCATAACTGGGCCCCAGAAATGGCTCCCACATCTGAGCTCGAATCTGGGGCCTCGAATTGCGTGAGCTTGTATGTCCAACGAAGAAAGCCAAAATCGGGAGCCCCGTTTCGGTGCCCGGACTAGAGCTGCTTTTTGGAACCCGTTTCAGCTGGAAAACTGCACGGAAAAACAAAATTCCTTCCGCATGCTGTTTGGATCAACGTCCAAGAAAGCCAACATGCTGTGAAATGTGAGATACTTTTGGAAAATTTGCCAAACTTGCCATCGGCTGCCGTTTCAAGACAAGTGCTTCTGTTCTTGTTCGTACAAGATCTTTCCCGCACAGTGTGAGAAAGTTCTGTTTGCAAAGTTCACATGTTTGCGAGCGTTCCACTTGTTATTTTGAGTTTTGAAGGAACACCGGCAAAATGCAAAACAGAAGCTGGCGAGGTTTATATACTGTTGCACGCAACGGCCAGCTGTGCACGCAGATGTGGCATCTGCTCGGACGAAAAAAACGGCATAACTGGGCCCCAGAAATGGCTCCCAACATCTGAGCTCGAAATCTGGGGCCTCGAATTGCGTGAGCTTGTATGTCCAACGAAGAAAGCCAAAATCGGGAGCCCCGTTTCGGTGCCCGGACTAGAGCTGCTTTTTGGAACCCGTTTCAGCTGGAAAACGCAGAAAAAACAAAATTCCTTCCGCATGCTGTTTGGATCAACGTCCAAGAAAGCCAAAATGCTGTGAAATGTGAGATACTTTTGGAAAATTTGCCAAACTTGCCATCGGCTGCCGTTTCAAGACAAGTGCTTCTGTTCTTGTTCGTACAAGATCTTTCCCGCACAGGGGAGGCCCTTCGAGGCTTCCTACGATTCTGTAGGAAAAAAGAGCTCTTGCAAGTGGAGCTTCCCAGCGCAAAAACAGCCCACGTACAGCAAGCAATCGAAACAGTTGAAGCTACAAGCTGAGATTAACATCTGCCAGTAGATGCCACAAAATCCTCGCATCAGCGTGCCAGCATTTAGCCGCAGCAAACTTATCAAGAGCATTACCACAGGAGGGCGGCGAGCCTCATGTGCATCAGAGGTGAGCCTGTTTAACGTCTTTGGTCTCGACCCAAACTGCAGATAGCAGACGTGCGTTTTGCAGCCTTACTTCAAAGCAGCAAATCCAAATGCAGCGCAAGATGTGCGATGGAACTGGGCCACACCTGCAGCCACTGTCCTGAACATCTTCTTCAGTTCCACTCTTCTCTGAAACATAATGCGCGAGCTGGAGAAACCCTGGGAACCCACATGTACCCCACAGGGAACCGAGCTGACACACTGCAAGAGCCAGGGGAGCCCGCCCATACCTTTGCGCAATATATGCTGGGAAAACCATGGGAACCCACTTGCAATGCTGCAAAAAGCAAGGAACCCACAGGGAACCCACCGTCGATGCTGTTAAACCATGGGAACCAATTAAAAATGCTACAAAAACCTAGGGAACCCACAGGGAACCCAGCTGACATGCTGCAAAAGCCAAAAGAGCCTATTGGAAAACCATGGGAACCCACTTCAAATGCAGCAAAAACCCGGGAACCAAACAGAGAACCCACCGTATCGACGGTGAAAAACCATGGGAGCCCACTTAAAAATGCTGCAAAAAATTGGGAACCCACAGGGAACCCACCGTCCATGCTGCAAAAAACCATGGGAATCTACAAGACAGCTAAGTGAAGAACATACACAGACCACCCGAAATGCTGCAAAAAACAAGGGAACCCATATGTTGCCCACCTGAAGTGTTGCAAAAAACAAGGGAACCCACAGAGAATCCACCGTCGATATTGTTAAAAACCATGGAAACCAACCCACTTAAAAATGCTGCAAAAACTAGGGAACCCACAGGGAACCCACCGTCCATGCTGCAAAAACCATGGGAATCTACAAGAAAGCTCAATGAAGAACATACACAGACCCACCCGAAATGCTGCAAAAAACTAGGGAACCCATATGTAGCCCACCTGAAGTGCTGCAAAAAACAAGGGAACCCACGGGGAACCCACCCCATCTGCTGCAAAAACCAACGGAACCCACTTACACACCCTTTGGGTAGTATAACACTATTAGAACGGTGGAAGGTCCCCATTAAAAATGCTGCAAAAACTAGGAAACCCACAGGGAACCCAGCTGACATGCTGCAAAAGCCAAAAGAGCCTATTGGAAAACCATGGGAACCCACCTCATCCCAGACATGCCGGAGTCAATCAAACTCAGTTGGCAGCTGAATATTATACCACCGGCTTTGTCCTAAGGGTGAAATCATTTGCCCGCCACCTCTGGGCTCGTTCAGGTTCCCTCGTCTGTATCCTCACACCCTGCAGCATACAATCTCGAATCAAACTGCGGCGGATCAGTAGAGTCTGCCTGTCCTAGCTTTCTGCAAGCGGACAATTTCGGATCCAGATTTCCCATGCTGCGCGTTGCTCTACGTAAAAGACTACGGCGCTCAGCTTCGACCTTGCAACAGGCTCAACATTTCAGAAGCGAATGAGCATGATATGACGGGCTCACATTCGTGCATTGGAAAAACCTGCTAGATGTCAACAAAGAGTTTCGGCTGCCCACATGGACTACAGCAAGGCTCACTTACTCATCCTAAACCCTACACCCTACACCGCAACGCAACCACGTTTTGTGGCCTTCAGAAAAAGAAGGCTGGGATTACGTCAAAGCAAGGCTTCGTCACTGACTAGCCGGAAAGTTTACCAGCTGCTCAGGCAACAGTTTGGGCAATGCTCATACATTCACTGGCTCAGATGGCAGACCTCATTGCCAGATGGCAAACCCCACTCCGCAGAATCATCGCTTTTAGTGCCGGGCTCAAAGCCCGTAAAACATTCGTGCCCTGCCTCAGACAAGGCTTGCACACTGCTGAACCGCTCACGCTCAACCGAAGACGAAGAAGTTACTAGCTGCCACGCAACAGTTCGGGTCACAGCCAAGCTCTCTCACCCACTGCTTCGGCAGGGCTCGCACCGCTGACCACTCTCAGCGCCGGGCTCAAAGCCGTAAACATTCATTCCCTTGGAAAAGAAAGAGCGAAGCTTGGTCACTGCTCACCCGACACCGAAGAAGAATTTACGCGCTGCAGCCGTTCGTCGCAGCAAAGCTCACTCATTCACACTCACTGACTCACGTACTAAAAGCTGGCAGAGCTTAGTCACTGCTCAACAGATACTCGCTGCTGGGGCAACAGTTCAACACCAGAGAGGCGACAGCGAAGCTCACTGACCGCTGATCACTCTCAGTGCCGGGCTTCAATGCGCGTTAAAACATTCGCGCCATCGTGCGAGAAACGACAAGGGTTAATTACTGCGATTCAGAAAGCTGCCGTGCTACTGTTTTGGCCTGGGCAAGTTCAAACATCTACATTCGACGGGGCAGCAGACAGAACCATGCCTTGCGAAGTCGTTTTTGCTCTGCTTTCAGGATCTTAGCGACTCTGCGCGCTTCTACCTGCTTTGGACGAAAGACAATCAAGACATCTTGTAGACACGCAGACAATACCACACCTTTGCATCCTGACGCTCCTGTCGCAGGCGGGCCAGACGGGCGGACAAAGTCTCCTAGCAACAGGCAGACGAGGAAGGACCATTCTCCTAAAAAGATTGTTTCCCTCGGATCAAAGCATATCAAGCAATGGTCATATGCTAAACGACCGTAAGGCAAAAATTTGCCAAATCCAATATATATAAAAAGCCAATCTCAATATATTCCGGCATATAGCCTTCAGAATGTTATCACGCACAGCAGCTCACAGCACTCGCACGTTCCTCATCTTTTTACTGAAAGGCGGGGGAGAATCGCGGTGAAAGTCGAAGCCCACAACAGACCGATGCCCAAACGGGTATTTCCCAGCATCAACAGTCTTGGGCGCACCCTCACCCCCACTTTGGGTCGGGCGGGCGGGAAAAGCAAGAATTTTGCCCCACCTTCAGAACTTGAGATGTCAAGGCAGCACGGGGCAAAATTTCACAAGATTCATGTGACATGATGACAGCACTGCATGTTCATGTCACATGAAAAATCATTCTTCTCCAAAGACAAACTTCGTGTTTTAGCAACGCCCAAAACGGGCACTAAAACAGAAAGAGAAGGGGAAAAACTTTTTATGGAGAAAGTGACGTCGTGAAGCACGAAGCTTCCTTCTCCTAAAAAGATTGTTTCCCTCGGATCAAAGCATATCAAGCAATGGTCATATGCTAAACGACCGTAAGGCAAAAATTTGCCAAATCCAATATATATAAAAAGCCAATCTCAATATATTCCGGCATATAGCCTTCAGAATGTTATCACGCACAGCAGCTCACAGCACTCGCACGTTCCTCATCTTTTTACTGAAAGGCGGGGGAGAATCGCGGTGAAAGTCGAAGCCCACAACAGACCGATGCCCAAACGGGTATTTCCCAGCATCAACAGTCTTGGGCGCACCCTCACCCCATCTCCTTTCTGCGCCTGCTGAACAAAAGAGTTTCGAGCTCGGCCTCTGTCTCAAAAGTTCTGCAAGAGCTGGTACGTGTAAGGCGTAAGGCCTCTTCGGGCACGCCCCTTGAGGGACCATCAGCAATATTCGAGAAAGAGGGCACACGCTCGATCCACAAGTAAGCTGGGTGATCAAAATTTGGGTGATCCCATGCCTGCACCAGCCGATTCATGCTGTGGCTGCTGCTGCCACCCTTTATGGCTGCGAAGCGTGCCGCCTCGTTATCACAGAAGACGATGACCCTTCGGTGCATCCATGCTTCTTTCCGTAGATGTCTGATGAGTGCCATTGCATACAACTCGACCTGCGATATTATCTGCTCCTGAGTGTGATCTTCAGTTCTCAACCACAAAGCAGTGATGCTAGTTGGGACGTGGCCAGCCCAAACCGCACCCTTCGAGGTAATGGGATCCCATTCAACGGCACCTATACCCGCATGTCCCTTTTCCCAAGAGCCATCGGTCCACACCAGGATCGGTTGGCGCACTCGGTTGCACACTAAGGACCGGGGAGGGGTGCCCTGAAGGATGACGGAGATGCGGCTGCCCAACTCATCCAAGGAGTCCTTAGCTGAAAGCCAATCCTTGCCCATCAGATGATTCAAGTCGTAGGCCACATGTCGCAGGGCCCTTCCGGCAAAGAAGCCGGAGGCGAAGTTCAGGTGTCCAATAAGGACCTGCAAAGATTGCCTGAAGCTCCCATTCCCTAGGGATGCAGTCGAAACCTTTTCAAGAATTTTCTCCGCCCTGCCAACCTTATTTGCAAGAACTATCTTCCCTGACAAGATCTCACCCAAGTCTAGCCTAGTCCCAAGGACGTCGAAGGAACTATCAAAGGGCTTGCCTTTTGACCCGGACTTTGCATGCCTCCACCCCAGCAGGTCCAATAGCCGGGATACATCTTGGTCCACGGGGGCAGCTGATGACTCTGGGCTAAATAATGGATAGTCATCGAAGTAGCAGGCACAGGGTACTTTCAAGCACTTATTTATTATCCACCACAACGAGCGACTCACCCGCACAAATGCAAACACTGATGCTGAAGCCCCGAACATCAACGCATTGCAAATGTGGTAAGTTGCAACTCCATCATGATCCTGGATCATGATGACACACAAGTCGCGGTCTCGTGGATGGACTGCCATTTGTTTGTAGGCTTTCGAAAGGTCTAGGCACTTCCCATGCCACGGCATGCGCTTGCTGGCTGGAAGGCCTTGCATTCGTTCAGCGATGAAGAGGGCCAGTGAAGCTACATAATCTGAATCGTGAAGTTGCAAGGCAATTGTGGAGGTATAAGCAGCATTGATTTGCGCCTCCAAGCAGTCGTCTATGGGACGGACCTTGCGACCTCCATCCTGGACCAGCACAAACCTTCGTACCACACCCCAATCTTCGTGACCGAAGAAGGCACTAACCTCATCGGCAGTCATACCTCGCTCAAGGAAGCCAGCATCGACCTCCTCGGCAGTGGCTTGGGACAGCAGGGAAGCATCCTCCTCAGAGGGGAAACTTCGCCCTAAACCCAACAAGCTAGACCTTCGATGCCGAGCCGTAGCTCTAAGCTCTTCTTCCGATAAGGAGGCGGGGGATACCTTCTTTGCAAAGTCCTTTGGATGTTCCTCACACCCTACAAGCCTCACACCCTCCTTCATGAAGCGCACGCAATCAAGGTCAGTATAGCCCGTCTCTTTCAAGAGCTCCTCCCAGGCTAGCAAGTTTTTGCCCTCAAGAACTTCCTGCATATATTTTGGCATGCCTTTGTGTAAGGCGTCCTCGCGGGGCTGAAGGCGGCGAATCTTCTCCTCCAAGTAGCAAAGGAAGGATCTCCTTTGCTCGGATAGTGCATCCGGGTCCCCATGTAAGGAGGAATCGATTGCTGCCTTCGTCACCATGGCCACCGGCTTGGTGGTATCCATGGGGTGAGCTAGAGATGCAGCCTTGTGAAAGAATTCGCTCGGAGAGTGCCAAAGGCCCAAGGTCACGGCACCAACAGTCGGAGTGGTCGAACCAGAGGAGGGTGTAGACATCGGAGTAGCCACATGAGCAGCCACATCCACCCCCTGAAGTTGGCTGGGAGAAAGCACCTTGGCACCAGGCGGGATTGGAGAGTCCGCTGGGACCTGCACGACTGTCTTGTACTCGGGGATTAGAGGTTTATGCCGGCGCGGTTGGACCCCAGCTGCAGCCAAGGATTGGTCATGCAAACGGATGGCAGACGGCAAGGCCTGTCCAGCTTGGCCCATGAAAGACAGCAAGCATGAAACCATACGACGACACAAATCCAGAGGGTAAGATGCATCCTCGGCAATCTCCACACGAGTGCGGCTGAGGGACCAGGGCTTGTGCTCATGTTGCTTGTCGCATGACACCGCAAGGGAGTCGAACAGGCCAGGTGTACATTTAAGCCGCAATGGCTTAGCACGGGAGCCGCCAAACATGCAACAATGCAGGTCGATTGACGGCAATGCCTGCCACTTGGCTAACACCTCTGTGTCTTTCAAGCCCTGCGCGAAACAAGAAAAGATTTGCCACAGTCTGGAACTCGGCGGGTTCTCTATGCAAAGGGGAATACCCCTGGCCAGGCAAAAGCAAGCAACCTCAAAAGAGAAGCGGTACATTCGGTTGGCCTCATCCACGCGTGTGGCCTCAAGACTGCCTGAGGTTAAATCCGGGCATCCCAAAGGATATTGCGAGGTACGCAAGGCTCCTGAGGAGGAGCGAGAAGAGGCTGTGTCAGAAGGCAAGCCCATATGGACAAAGGCAGGGCAGCAGGATTCGAGGAGCGACCACACGAAAGCTTGACCTGCCTCGGTGGCAAGATCAGTTTTGCAAACTGGCACGAGGCTGTGAGCTAGCCTGTGGTCCATGGACAAGACGGTAAATCCGGCCCGGCGCAAGCATTGCGACAGCCGTCCCCGCCCCGAAAAGAGTTCGAGGGCGAACGGGGTTTCGCCGACCGAAGCTGAAGACGGACTCTCCTTGGGCACTTGCGGGACAGGGGCAGGACTAAACCCTACAGGCAAAGGACCCTCAAGCGATGCAGGATCAGGACTAGACCCCAAAGGAACCGGGTTGGTCTCGGCATCAGGCTTAGGATCTAGGGGAGTGGGAACCTCCACAGGCGGGCACCTAAGGGGCTCGGCTTTATAGCCTGGCAAGGCAAATCTGGCCTGCAAAAGCGAATCACGGCAAGTGTCAGGCATGCCCTTGAGGCCCCTCACCGTGTATGACACAAGGACCACCCTGGTGCCGAGCCAGGGCTCGGTCCAATGCACGACCTCCCGCGCAGCGAATCTCAGCATTCCATTTCGAAAGTCTATGGCACGGCCACGAAAATCGCGGCCCTCATGAGTGATTCTATGCTCCCCCTCAGGGTCTTCCACGATGACCCTTCCGCCTGAAAAATTCGTAATTGCAAAAACCTGATTGGTACTATGTGGGCAATTATGCGAGTCGCGATGCGGAGCCGCCTGATTGTTGCGAAAAATGACCAATGAAGAAAATTTTGCCGTCGGCGCCTGTTGCCTTGCATACGATGCCAAGAGCTCAGAAGTCCATGGAAAACGTGTGAGATTGTTGACCACTGAACACATGGTTCCATGAATGAAAGCACCAGTCACGAAGGCTTTGGAAGCTTGATCGGACCCTCTAGGATTATTCCCTTCAGGCAAAAGCTCGAAAACTGACAAAATGACTGATTTCTGAAAATTACCCTGTTGCACTGCGCTGCGAGCCAAGGACTCAGCCGGGTGAAGACCAGAATTGGTCTCAGGGGCCCACTCGTTGGCCTGCAGCGCCACCGACTGTCAATCCTTATGGTCGCATTCAATGAAAGGTTTGTCGCGATAACAGCCTTTGAAATAGCACTGGTGGAAGCCCCTGTTGCAGCGCTTTCCTTTGCCCTTCCATTTGCACTTCCCCTGATTCCACAAGAAACACAGAGGCTGGTTCTTGTCATTGCGATCACAGCAACCTTCGGGAAGGTTGAATCGCTTTGCCGGATCCTCCTGCTTGTCTCCACCCTTTCCGCCCTTGCCGCCTTTGCCCTTCTTCCAAGCCCGACTCAAGAAGTTTTTATCAAAGGGCAAGTCCTCACTGAGGGCCCGCTTCAGCGATTCAGCTAAGGCCTTACCCCCCGGAGGTGGGGGCGGAACATGAGGCTTGGGCATCGGCACAAGGTACTGAGAGATCTCGGGAGAGAACATCAGCATGATAATTTGATCATCCAGAGGTGTCCTGTCTCCGGGCCGGCTGGCCCTGAGATCAGCAGGCAGGCCCTCGGCGGCCAACATGAACAAGCGCTTGTCGGCATTTACCATCTGCCTCAACTGGATGGGTGCATAACCTTCCGGCACGTCGCGGGCAAACACTGAAAAGAGATGATGTACCCACTTTTCAACCACGATGAAAGTTGCAATCCCAGCCATGTCCATTGCAAGGGACCGTCTCTGCCAAGCTGCACGAAGCTTGGAGTCAGTGCTGGCTTCACACCTGACCTCTGCAGCCTTGGAGTTAACCTTGATCTGTCCATCCGGCATGAGCTGCAAGGCTTTGTCCTTCTTATTGCTTTGCATTTCATCTGCCCTGGAAGCGCACTTTTCAGGCGCGACCCATGCAATGACTCCCGTCTCAAGTTGATCGTTAAACAAGTCAACTAGGTAGTGCGAGGGAGTAGTCTCTGGAGTGTACACCAAACCAGTGATCCGAGCCTGCTGCCGTTGCGACCTGGCTAACCGCTCCGACGGGGGCAGAGGCTTTGCAACTTGCTCCGAGGCCGGTTGCATCTTCTGACGAATCTCGCCCATTGACATGGTTTGGCTTTCGAAAAGGAGCTTCTTCAGACATGTTTGCTGCTGCTCAGAAGGAACCGAGGGCACCCAAAGCCGCTGAACCCATGCTTCGAATGTCTGGTCAGTGATGGTGTGAGGGGAGGCACTCACGCTAAAGCACAACTGGCCAAAGCTTGCAACGCCTGCATGCTGGAGCACCTCCAAGTTGGCTGCCGACAGTCCTAGCCGCTTGCACCTCTCAGCAAACTCGGCAGTACTTTCCAGGGCGGAGGAAGTCATGTTGCACAACCTAGGGTTCTTCAAGAATGTTCATGAGCTGACGCTACCACATGACATGTCCAAACTCCTCGCTACTTGTATTTCGCCACATGTTCATGTTTCTCATGATCAATGTTTTAAAAACTGGAACGGCGGCAAACTTCATCAATGACTGCTCAGACGATCGGACTCACGGCAGCTGGCACAACGACCCTACGCAGCACTCAGCTACAGGCCATGCCAGCACACACCAGTCTCAGATCAGAACAGCACTTTCTTTTAACCGCCACGGTTCGCCTCGGCGTCGGATCCCCCTTGGGCCTCAAGGACCCTAAAGCATTGTATGCAGCATGAGGGGTTTTCCCCAAGCAGACTACCTTGCCGAAAAGGTTTATAGTTCCTGCTGATAACTCTGCCGCACAAGAGAGAGGTCTGATCCCTCTTCACATGTGTGATGCCGGAGACAGAATGGACAGTGCATGTGGTCCAGGGGACCCCTCGAAAAACTTCACGTTCGGTCGGGCCATCATCCCTTTCGAGCTCTCTGTCCAAATCTATCGAGGCGTGATCGGAGTCGTCCGACTCCCCATCCTCAGCCATCTTTTCGCTGTTCAGCTTTGACGTCGGAATTTCAAGTCGGCTCAAGCCCCTTTCGTTGCCCTCTTCAAAGGACTGCGCCATAGCAGCAACACTTGCAGCACCAGGCAAATCCGGCTTGAAACGGTTTTGCTGGATGGTCGAAAAGACGGCCAGCACCTTTGCATAGAGCTTCAAATAGTACTCTCTGCTGTAAGTCAAAGGAGATTTGCTTGTCGGATCCAGATGATGGCCAAGCGCACGCTGCTCAGGCTCCGTGAAAGGAATGATCGTGCTACGGCCGCACCAAGTCAAGACAGTAGTTTTCATGCTGTGGCTGCCATAGTCCTGAACCTCATCAAGATCGCATCCCATGGAAATGAGCGCCTCCCTGAGGTAGTTCGTGGCCTCCGCGGCCCCCATTTCAAAATCACCCCAGTCATATTTTCGCTCACTCCAGGTTGGAAGGAGAAAAGACCCTCCAGCTTGCAGACCCATTTCTTTTCTGGCCTCCATCCACGCCTCTGCCCATGGCACGTTGCTTACGCCTTTGCCCAGGGCGACGTACGGCAGAAGCCGCGTGCGTGCTTCAGCGGAGATCGCTGTTTTGGAGCCGAGTGCCCCGGCTACTATCAGTACCACACCGCTCTCAGCATCGCACTCCATGGTTAGGCTCTGTACGCGCTGACTGTCTGCCCACCGGGCACAAGCATGTGCGCAGAAGACCAGTTGGCCTACCACACATGCGCGGTGATCCTTGTTCATGGTCACAAACTGCTCCAAGAGGGACAGGTGTTCTACAGTCAGAGGGGGACGCTGAGCTAGCGGGGCCTTTGTTACGTGCATAATCCTCACAATCCCTAGCACCCTGGCGCTAAAGACTTCTTCAAGGTCAAGCACTTGAAACACCGCAACACCGTGGAGGAATCGCAGTGCCTCCACACAATGCTGGCATGACGTGGCTCCCGCCCCCTCGCCCTGCAGGTGCGAGAAGTAGGCAAACAAGTCAACCTCGGAGCTTCTAAGGGGCGAGGTCCCTCGGCAGCTAAGGATCCACTTACCAAAACGGTCAAGGGACCCAGCTCGCTTTATGAGAGAGCCGGAAGCACTCTTCGCAAAAGCACAAGTGAAGGAGTATGACAGAGCCTCATCGTCAGCTAGGTTCGCTGCCTCCTTTGCCACTACCATCCCCAAGAAGGTAGTGTCGGGATCGTACATGATGAGGGCCCTCAGTCGCTTTATGGCGTGCTCCCGTCGATCATCTGCCGGTCGCTCAAGATGAAACCGCCTTAGCCTAGTCCTAACTACACTCGAAGTTTTCTCAAGAAAGGCCGAAGCTGACGGCAGGTTCTCAGGTGGCAATTGACCAGCTTCCTCGGAGCCATAAGAGGCTTGCACACTGCTCCTAAGGGCATCGTCGATCATGTTTCTCTCAGGTCCAAAAATACTGGACCATGCACCTTGCTCCCAAGGCAACTTTGGCAAGTCCTGACACACACGCCTGAACTTTGCCTCCTGAGCAACCTCGGCCCACCTGGCATCCTCGAAGACACGCTTGCTGGATAGCGACTCAGCAGGCAGAAGAGGCTCTTCCGCAACACTGGTTGCGACCTCCTCTCTGTCACCTTCGACTAGGACCGCGTCTAAAGAATGATCTCGCACTGAATCATACCAAATGTCTTCGGGGTCAAGAGACCTTTCCCGTTCCCCACTATGAACCATATCATAAGAACCCAAGTCCGAGGCAGGGTCACCAAGGTTGGGGTCGTGCACAGGGTCGTAAGCAAAGGGACTAAAAGGCTCCGACAGCCATAAGGCGGGATCCTGGCTTTCCTCAGGCACGGCAGCATGGGTGGTTGGGCTCAGGGGAGCCAACAGGCCCCATGCATTTACACTGGCTGCATCATCACTAGGCTCCTCCCCCTGACCAGAAACCGAGTGATCAGGATCAGCCTCAGTCAGGTTGGCGGCCGCAGGGCCCGCTGCAGCAGGCGAGGCTTTGGGAGTCGCACCTGTGGACAGCCGAGGCACCATACGAAGCTTCAGCCGTTTCAAGCAGACTGCTCGGGCGGTTCAAGAAAAACTCTGCAGGCACGGCGCAAGCCCTGGATTAACCCCTCAAGCCACGAGAGGCGTTGATGATGACCCGTCTGGTTCACCCAGACGCGAGCAAGGGACTCCTCCAGAGTCTGCAAATCGGACCTGAGGGCTTGAACCTGAAGCCTCAGGGCGTTGACCTCCAATTGGAGATCGTGAATGTGCTGGCTGTGAAGCTCGCGAGTGCTAGTGGAACTGGCCTCGGAGCGATGAGAGGATCCGTCAGCGAGCGCTTCACCGAAGTCCATCTGACGCCCCGCACGAAAAGCGGGGAGTCGTGACGCCCTAAAGCCAGCACTTAGGGGGGCCCAAGACCTGCTAGGACGCCGTTACAAGCCTCTAGCAGGGCCCAAAAGCAAGAATTTTGCCCCACCTTCAGAACTTGAGATGTCAAGGCAGCACGGAGCAAAATTTCACAAGATTCATGTAACATGATGACAGCACTGCATGTTCATGTCACATGAAAAATCATTCTTCTCCAAAGACAAACTTCGTGTTTTAGCAACGCCCCAAAAAGGGCACTAAAACAGAAAGAGAAGGGGAAAAACTTTTTATGGAGAAAGTGACGTCGTGAAGCACGAAGCTTCCTTTATTTACGAAGGACGTTCTACACTCCTGCGGCAACTCCACTCTTTGAGGGGGAGGAACAGGAGGTGCTTCCACGTCGGACATCGTTGCAACACATGGGCCAAAAGAACGCTCGAATTACGGAGCCAATTCCGGAAGCTGTTCTCTAGGATGCTTGGAAGGGCCTCCTCTGTGTGAGAAAGTTCTGTTTGCAAGGTTCACATGTTTGCGAGCGTTCCACTTGTTATTTTGAGTTTTGAAGGAACACCGGCAAAATGCAAAACAGAGCTGGCGAGGTTTATATACTGTTGCACGCAACGGCCAGCTGTGCACGCAGATGTGGCATCTGCTCGACGAAAAAACGGCATAACTGGGCCCCAGAAATGGCTCCCAAATCTGAGCTCTAATCTGGGGCCCCGAATTGCGTGAGCTTGTATGTCCAACGAAGAAAGCCAAAATCGGGAGCCCCGTTTCGGTGCCCGGACTAGAGCTGCTTTTTGGAACCCGTTTCAGCTGGAAAACTGCACGGAAAAACAAAATTCCTTCCGCATGCTGTTTGGATCAACGTCCAAGAAAGCCAACATGCTGTGAAATGTGAGATACTTTTGGAAAATTTGCCAAACTTGCCATCGGCTGCCGTTTCAAGACAAGTGCTTCTGTTCTTGTTCGTACAAGATCTTTCCCGCACAGTGTGAGAAAGTTCTGTTTGCAAAGTTCACATGTTTGCGAGCGTTCCACTTGTTATTTTGAGTTTTGAAGGAACACCGGCAAAATGCAAAACAGAGCTGGCGAGGTTTATATACTGTTGCACGCAACGGCCAGCTGTGCACGCAGATGTGGCATCTGCTCGACGAAAAAACGGCATAACTGGGCCCCAGAAATGGCTCCCACATCTGAGCTCGAATCTGGGGCCCCGAATTGCGTGAGCTTGTATGTCCAACGAAGAAAGCCAAAATCGGGAGCCCCGTTTCGGTGCCCGGACTAGAGCTGCTTTTTGGAACCCGTTTCAGCTGGAAAACTGCACGGAAAAACAAAATTCCTTCCGCATGCTGTTTGGATCAACGTCCAAGAAAGCCAACATGCTGTGAAATGTGAGATACTTTTGGAAAATTTGCCAAACTTGCCATCGGCTGCCGTTTCAAGACAAGTGCTTCTGTTCTTGTTCGTACAAGATCTTTCCCGCACAGGGGAGGCCCTTCGAGGCTTCCTACGATTCTGTAGGAAAAAAGAGCTCCTGCAAGTGGAGCTTCCCAGCGCAAAAAAAACAGCCCACGTACAGCAAGCAATCGAAACAGTTGAAGCTACAAGCTGAGATTAACATCTGCCAGTAGATGCCGCAAAATCCTCGCATCAGCGTGCCAGCATTTAGCCGCAGCAAACTTATCAAGAGCATTACCACAGGAGGGCGGCGAGCCTCATGTGCATCAGAGGTGAGCCTGTTTAACGTCTTTGGTCTCGACCCAAACTGCAGATAGCAGACGTGCTTTTTGCAGCCTTACTTCAAAGCAGCAAATCCAAATGCAGCGCAAGATGTGCGATGGAACTGGGCCACACCTGCAGCCACTGTCCTGAACATCTTCTTCAGTTCCACTCTTCTCTGAAACATAATGCGCGAGCTGGAGAAACCATGGGAACCCACATGTACCCCACAGGGAACCGAGCTGACACACTGCAAGAGCCAAGGGAGCCCGCCCAGACCTTTGCGCAATATATGCTAGGAAAATCATGGGAACCCACTTGCAATGCTGCAAAAAGCAAGGAACCCACACGGAACCCACCGTCGATGCTGTTAAACCATGGGAACCCATTAAAAATGCTGCAAAAACTAGGAAACCCACAGGGAACCCAGCTGACATGCTGCAAAAGCCAAAAGAGCCTATTGGAAAACCATGGGAACCCACTTCAAAATGCTGCAAAAACCAAGGAACCAAACAAAGAACCCACCGTATCGACGGTGAAAAACCATGGGAGCCCACTTAAAAATGCTGCAAAAACTGGGGAACCCACAGGGAACCCACCGTCCATGCTGCAAAAACCATGGGAATCTACAAGACAGCTAAGTGAAGAACATACACAGACCACCCGAAATGCTGCACAAAAAACCAGGGAACCCATATGTTGCCCACCTGAAGTGTTGCAAAAAACAAGGGAACCCACAGAGAATCCACCGTCGATATTGTTAAAAACCATGGGAACCCACTTAAAAATGCTGCAAAAACTAGGGAACCCACAGGGAACCCACCGTCCATGCTGCAAAAACCATGGGAATCTACAAGAAAGCTAAATGAAGAACATACATAGACCCACCCGAAATGCTGCAAAAAACAAGGGAACCCATATGTAGCCCACCTGAAGTGCTGCAAAAAACAAGGGAACCCACGGGGAACCCACCCCATCTGCTGCAAAAACCAACGGAACCCACTTACACACCCTTTGGGTAGTATAACACTATTAGAACGGTGGAAGGTCCCAGACATGCCGGAGTCAATCAAACTCAGTTGGCAGCTGAATATTATACCACCGGCTTTGTCCTAAGGTTGAAATCATTTGCCTGCCACCTCTGGGCTCGTTCAGGTTCCCTCGTCTGTATCCTCACACCCTGCAGCATACAATCTCGAATCAACCTGCGGCGGATCAATAGAGTCTGCCTGTCCTAGCTTTCTGCAAGCGGACAATTTCGGATCCAGATTTCCCATGCTGCGCGTTGCTCTACGTAAAAGACTACGGCGCTCAGCTTCGACCTTGCCACAGGCTCAACATTTCAGAAGCGAATGAGCATGATATGACGGGCTCACATTCGTGCATTCGGAAAAACCTGCTAGATGTCAACAAAGAGTTTTGGCTGCCAACATGGACTACAGCAAGGCTCACTTACTCATCCTAAACCCTACACCCTACACCGCAACGCAACCACGTTTTGTGGCCTTCAGAAAAAGAAGGCTGGGATTACGTCAAAGCAAGGCTTCGTCACTGAGTAGCCGGAAAGTTTACCAGCTGCTCAGGCAACAGTTTGGGCAATGCTCATACATTCACTGGCTCAGATGGCAGACCTCATTGCCAGATGGCAAACCCCACTCCGCAGAGTCATCGCTTTTAGTGCCGGGCTCAAAGCCCGTAAAACATTCGTGCCCTGCCTCAGACAAGGCTTGCACACTGCTGAACCGCTCACTCTCAACCGAAGACGAAGAAGTTACTAGCTGCCACGCAACAGTTCGGGTCACAGCCAAGCTCTCTCACCCACTGCTTCGGCAGGGCTCGCACAGCTGACCACTCTCAACGCCGGGCTCAAAGCCGTAAACATTCATTCCCTTGGAAAAGAAAGAGCGAAGCTTGGTCACTGCTCACCCGACACCGAAGAAGAATTTACGCGCTGCAGGCAGCCGGTCGTCGCAGCAAAGCTCACTCATTCACACTCACTGACTCACGTACTAAAAGCTGGCAGAGCTTAGTCACTGCTCAACAGATACTCGCTGCTGGGGCAACAGTTCAACACCAGAGAAGCGACAGCGAAGCTCACTGACCGCTGATCACTCTCAGTGCCGGGTTCAATGCGCGTTAAAACATTCGCGCCATCGTGTGAGAAACGACAAGGGTTAATTTCTGCGATTCAGAAAGCTGCCGTGCTACTGTTTTGGCCTGGGCAAGTTCAAACATCTACATTCGACGGGGCAGCAGACAGAACCATGCCTTGCGAAGTCGTTTTTGCTCTGCTTTCAGGATCTTAGCGACTCTGCGCGCTTCTACCTGCTTTGGACTAAAGACAATCAAGACATCTTGTAGACACGCAGACAATACCACACCTTTGCATCCTGACGCTCCTGTCGCAGGCGGGCCAGACGGGCGGACAAAGTCTCCTAGCAACAGGCAGACGAGGAAGGACCAATTATTTACGAAGGACGTTCTACACTCCTGCGGCAACTCCACTCTTTGAGGGGGAGGAACAGGAGGTGCTTCCACGTCGGACATCGTTGCAACACATGGGCCAAAAGAACGCCTGAATTACGGAGCCAATTCCGGAAGCTGTTCTCTAGGATGCTTGGAAGGGCCTCCTCTGTGTGAGAAAGTTCTGTTTGCAAGGTTCACATGTTTGCGAGAGTTCCACTTGTTATTTTGAGTTTTGAAGGAACACCGGCAAAATGCAAAACAGAGCTGGCGAGTTTTATATACTGTTGCACGCAACGGCCAGCTGTGCACGCAGATGTGGCATCTGCTCGACGAAAAAACGGCATAACTGGGCCCCAGAAATGGCTCCCACATCTGAGCTCGAATCTGGGGCCTCGAATTGCGTGAGCTTGTATGTCCAACGAAGAAAGCCAAAATCGGGAGCCCCGTTTCGGTGCCCGGACTA